AAAGTAAATATCAGATGATGTTACCCTTTGTAACCCAGAAAGCTTTAGCTCATTGCTATCTAAGATACATTAAATAAGCCTGGTGTGTCCCCTCATCAATAAAGTAGCTTAGCAAGACAGTTTGTAGTTTGTGCAAATAAAATAGATTCCTTTAAGGTTTATTTCTTATTTCTATTCTTTTTATTTATTTTTATTCCTAATGCACCTTTTCCTCCTTGTTTGCACTTTCTTTAATTACTATGCCAATATGTGACTAGTGAATTTCTCCGCTGTAAGATCAATAAAGCTCATCTAATCTAAGCTAATCTTAATTTGGGAGAGTTTACAAACCTCCTTCTTTTTTAGGATACATAGAAACCATCTTTGACAGTCAGTTTTCAATTATAACCACAAATTATTAACTGGATTTAGGTCTTAGATGTGATCCCGGGGATTTGATCTAAACCGTTCTGTGTTGCTCTAGTTCCTATGGTTAGGATTTATCTTCTAGAACCGGAAAGCTTTTCCTAATTATGAATCTTTTGTAAGCTTTATTATTTTTTCTGCCTTATCCATAGCTTCAGCTTTCATTACCTAACAAGTACTGTCTACCAAAGGAAGGCGGGCCTTTGGTAATCGAAAATAAAAATCCAGTTGTAAAACCAGAATATGCAGCCAAGCAGGAAGTCATAGTTCAGAAATGCTCCATCATAAACATGAGTTACTGGAACATATTACTTTCCATGTACTTCCCCTGAATAAGATGAGGGCAAACCTGTCACCTCTGAAATAAAAAACTTCCTTTTGTGAATAAAACAAAAACAAAACAGCAAAGATTTAGAGCATGGGATCTGTCTTAAGCATTCAGAGAAAGTATTTCCTGCTTTCATAAATACAACTTTTTTACATCACATTGATTTTTGACATTTTACTCCTTCGCATTCCAGATATAATTTCCTTCCTTTTCATTGTTTTACTGTCAGAGGAAAATCTAAGCCTTTCTAAACCAAAGTTATGCAGCAGGGCAGAATATCTTTTCAGTTGGAAACAACAACGCCTGACGTAAGCAAGTCGGCCATAGCATAACAAAAGAAATCAATGCTGAGATAACAACCTGAGAAAGAGAGAGCTGCGTCTAAAAATAGATCTATTACGCAGTGGCGCCCTAAAGTCTTCCTTGTGAGGATGCCGTGCATTTAGCTTTGGATATCAGGGATGAAACCTTCCTGAAATACATAGAATGTCACTAAGTCAATATTTCTTACCTCCTAAACCCATAGATCTAGATGCTGTTGCTGGGCAGTTACCGAAGTCAAACATTGCTGAGCATCTAGATCAGCAGCATTATTTATAGATTAGTAGGCATAAGTATTAACGCTGATGGTAAAGAGTGGTCAAATATCTTAGAAGAAACGATCATACTGAAATAAGGTGGAAAAGCCAGGCATTTTGATTTGAGTATCAAATCAAAAAGTCAAAATAAAATCTTGCATTTGCTAATATTAGTTTTTTCTTGTCTTAATTAGCACAATAATGAGTCCAGTCAATAATTTCTAAGCCCATTTTGTTATAGGACAACTCCTTTTTCTTGTCGCAGATTTCAAAGGGGCAGCACATATGGAGATAAAGTGGTCATTTGGTGATTTCTGCTTGCATGATCCTGGATCCTGTTCCATGTGCTCTTCTCTTCAGTTCACCTTAAAGGTTTCCAGCAGGATTTCGGTCTGGTTACTCAGATGATCACAAAAGAAACTTGATTTTGAATCTTGAAACATCTAGCCAATTCTGTTAGACAAAATTATGACCTATTATATATTTGACTTAACATGTGGTATGGTAAATTATTATCCCTTGAGTTATGGATCCTCTTGAAAATAACATATCCCATAATATCATAGACTTTTGCCCAATCTTTACATGGGTGCTTTTCCAAATTTCTGCCAATTTTTCTTTAACATGTTTGACTCATTAGAGTTAGGCAAACTTCACAGGTTTGCATTTGTGATGGCAGGACGATAAAAAGACTCATTTAACCGAGCATCCCTCTCAAGCACCTGGTTAGCACGTAGATTCTCATTGTTGTTATGGAGACTTTGGTGACAACAAGATGACACCTTTTCTTTGCTGCAGCTCTCTAACAGCAAATTAAAAAATCCCACTTACATTCCTGCTTATTGCATTAGCTAAAAGATACCTTACACTTTGTAACATCATACATGTGTACCTTTGAGGGGTTTTATTTCAGTAACTTATTATAAAAGGGTTCTGATAACTAGGTCACTAAATGAAAACAAATTAAGGGAAGAATTTAAAAATCACTATAATGTTTAAAAATAAAGCTCAGAGAAGAAACAATAATTTTCAAAGGATTAAATATAAACAAATATAAATATGCACAGACTTGCTTAAAAGAAGGAAAATTAAGTAAAGATCTGAGAACACAGTTTATAAATGCAGAAAATAAACATCCAACTTATTGTGCCTGAATCTCTATTGTTTTTTTTTTTTTAAGTGCTCATCATTATCATGCATTTCCTATTTCTTATATTCCTTTATTCAACGTTTGCCTGTATCTGAATGCGTTTCTGCAACTAGGTCAACTCCCAGCCTTACCAACCAGTGTTTGTTCTTCAGGGAGAAAAGCTGCCTGGAGAAGAAACAGGCCCCACCCTGCTCTGTGTCATACACTCTCTACACCACACATTAGCCTCAGGCAGAGGCGGTGTAAGTATATTACACACAACACCGTCTCCATGGCAAGCTGCTGGCTGCAGTCCAGGAGTTAAGTCTTTGCTTATGCACATCACATGTAATGTAGTCCTAAATCATAAAAAATGTTTATCTAAGAAGAGGTTTTTTAAAAGTTTTTCATTTTAGAATACATAAAATAAGAGCGCTCCCCTTTTCTTTTAATTATCTTAAGTGGATAAAAGATGGATCACACATCAAAATGTGACATGCAGTTTAGGTAAGCTGCAGTGTTTATAACGTGTGGTGAAACATTGTCAAAGAGGTTTCCATGGTTGCAACTCTTTTTTTTTTCTTCTTCATTTTACAACAAAGACTGATTGCTTTTCATGATTGCTTTTGTTGCTGATAACAAGTTTTACTGGCAGAAAATGAACACTTAAAGAGCATGTGTTGTTGTAACATAACACACAAGGTTACTGGTTGTAATATAAGGGAAATAAAGGTTTCCTAGTGGATTTTCTTCTTTAATAAAGCGATGTTTGATTTTAAAGGCTTGTATTTAAAAGAAAATGTAATTAGATTATCTCAAAAACTTGTTGCATTTGGTAAATAATATTAAATTCTCATTGAATGGCAAAATTAACATTTTTAAAACCTAAGCACAGAGGAGAACAACATTCAAGCATGTTTTTTATAATTAAGTTGGAGCATCTGATCTGTTATTAAATTTTATTAAAAACCAAATAAGGCTTATGCTAATGCTCCGAAGACTTGATGGTGCTAAGATTACATTAGTGGTATGAATACAGAGTTTAATCCTTTAATGTTATGAAACTATAAGATATTTTGTTGCATACCACCTGAGGTAAACAGACAGGTAACCAGGAGGCTGGTTGGTCGGTAAGCATAAGGGCAAAATGTAATTCTGCTGCAGTTTCAAAGTTCAATGAAACATTTGCTCCTAGCAATGCCAGATAGGCTAAATAAAAATGAATAAATATGGCTATGCAGCTTTGCATGCTATATAACAAAATTTTTGTTTTTTTATAAATCAATATGAGTTTGAGTTTTGCAGCAGGCTGTACTCCAATGCAAACCTGAAAATCTTAACTGATGTGTTTTCTTTCAGGAGCGCCTGAATGCAGCAGACTTGTACTCCTTGAACCAAAGCCGTTTTGCTGCCTGGTAACCTTATTTACACCGGCGATAACTCCAAATATGGAGAGCAGATGACGCCATCCCTGTTGCTGTGCGCGTCCTCCGGGGAGGAGCGTGAGAGAAATGAGAGGGGGGAGGAGGGACTGCGGTTGCGCGTCCACGTCATGGCTTTTCCACTGCGCGTTCCCTCGGGGCTGTTTTACTACCGGATGGTACATATAAGGAAGACATGTGCCCGTGCGTGGATTTGTGCGTGGATTTCATGTGTATGTGTCAGAGTGTGACATAGTGCATTATTATGCATGTGAAAGCGGATAGGCTAAAAAGTCCCCAGTAACTGAAAACACCATTTTTTTTTTTCCTCTCCACGACAATTCTTCGAACTGCTGGTTGGGTTTTCACCAGGATGTAAACACCGAGTCATGTTGCATGTTTTTTTTTTCTTCTTTATCATCCTTTATATTAATATATAATTTTTATAGTAAACAGGAAAATAATCAGGAAATCCTACTTAAAACACCTAAATAATGGATTATTCACATTATTACTATATTAAACAATTCTACTGGAAAACGACCTCATATCTATTTCTTTTCTCATATTATTATTTAATGAATTCATAATTACAGGTGTGTTATTAGAGTGAATGAATTATACAAAACATTAATTTTAAGAACCTCACAATGGCCTCATTTAATGTATGCTATATGATAAACTGTGATACAAAATGTTATATTACATGTTATCTATGTGTTTGCAATATATTATATCATATAGTAATGTAAAATCCACGTAATTAGGCAACAATAATCATACAGGCTAATAGTCTACAGGTTTTATTGTTTGTTTCACTGTTTTAAAATGAGTAAATTATTCAATAAGACCTCAGAATCTATAACCTGCATTATTCTGTTACTGAATGACTGTGGGGAGATAGATGTTACCTCAGGATAGAGCTCGAGGAATTTGGTACCTTTAGAAAAACTCAAATTAATGACACAGATTAAGCGTGAGAGGAAATAGTCAGACAGAACAGATGGTTGTCTGAGTGTGTGTGTTGGTGTGCGCTGAGGGGTGTTACCACAGCAGGTGTGGGAGGCGCCTGCTTGTCACTTACTGAGGAATGAAGTTCACTTTACGTCATGGAGGAAATAAAACGCCGCCCTACTACACGCGTTCTCACATTTCTTAGAGCACAACAGCTGGTGAACAACAGAAGAAAGAACCGAGAAACAGACTAGAAACTAAAACTTGATTGACTGCGGGTAAAAATAGCTATCCGATCTTTTTGGTAAAAAGGTGCCAAAAAAGAACCGTGCGCAATTACGCATAGAAGAAACAAAATGACAACAGCGATGGAAGTGAACATGGAAGCCAGGCGGATACTGGCCGTATCCATAAGTAAGCTGTACGCTTCAAGGTCCCAGAGAGGAGGACTGAGACTCCACCGGAGCCTCCTGCTGTCCCTGGTCATGAAGTCTGCCCGGGACATCTACCACTCCTCACGGGAGGAGGACGCGCCGAGCGGAGCGCAGTCAGCCCCGGAGGAGCCGATGGAGACTAGCTCCGGTCCGGAGGTACCAGAGCCTCAGCCCCTGTCGGAAAGAAACTCCTCAGAAACCGTCTCAGAGGAGTCGGACAACAAGGCGAAAGATTACGACTGTGACACCGTCGACGACAAGGAGAACTTGAGCCCGACGAAGCAGTCCAGGAAACGCCGGGGCAAGGCGTCGGCGGCGCCTGACTTCCTTCCCAACAAGAGGGCGAGGCTGGAGCCCGGGGAAGAGAGGTATTCAGCCCCACTGGGCAGCTGCCGGGTCGGGGCTGGAGAGTCTCTGGCCACTTTGTCTCTAAATCAAGTCATACCTGCCTTCTGAACAGATAAAGGGACAAAATAGTCTCCTGTTGGACTTTTGAAGTGGAGCAATTCTTAACTCCATGTACTAAGCACCGATGAGCTGACCTACATCAGCAGTCCCGGGACAAAGGGATTAATGGTGCCAAGGAACGGGCTTTCAGGCCGAACTGTTCCTGCTGGGGCAGGTAAAGCCCCGAGAAACAAAGAAAGGACAGAGGAAGAGCAGCCAGATGGCTGGAAAGTTGGTTGAAGAACCTGATTAGGGAAGTGGTTGTGTTTCCACTTGTTTCCCTATGACTCATCTTCAGTTCAGTGACTCCAAACAAGTGACAACTGCTGAGTCAGAATGTGTGTTTGTGAATCAGCAGAGTGTTCATCAGAGAGCAGAAGGAGTAAGCAGCTGACCACATGCAGAAACGCACAGATGAAAAATGAGTTTCAGGGAATTTCCTGTCTTCATGACGAGAAATCGGAGAGGAAAAGAGGAAGGAGAGCTGAGGCAGACACATTCAGCTGCTCCTTTGGACTTTGATAAATCAATACTACAGCTGCTGGACTGTCCTACATACTACATTCACATGGTGCTTTAATAAACTGACTATATTGCACTTTAAAAACTTGTTGTCCATTTGGACATTAAATATTTTACTGTGATTCATCTTGTTCATGTCTGACCTGTGAAATATGGCCTGACATCTCAAACTGTTTGATAATTCTGTTGTGAATTCAACATTGTCAACGTTTGTAATAAAGTTGCTGAAAGAGTAATCATCTGTTGTCATGATGTTTTTGTTTATATGAAACACTTAGACTAGGGAGATGTAGGATGGGTTCCACATTGTAGGCCACAGCTTCACAGGGTTAATCCTTTATTAAAGGGTGGAGGCTGGTACGACTCAGCATCAGGAATGACTCGGTACTGTTAATCTCCTGCTTACAATAAGACTTCCTCTTGCAAACAGCTTCCCTCGCTGTGCCGTTTCCTTCGGATTAGGATGGAATTCTGAATCACATCCTTCCTTCCTGATATTAGCCCCTCTGGTTTATCACAGGATCCATTAAAGTTATACAATATGGCAGCAGTACAGCTTGTGGACCAAACACCACTGATGGGGGGAAAAAATAGAAAAAAGCAGCAGGTGGTGTTTACAGCTTAAGGCTATCTTCATCATTGACTTCCTGTCTGCTGCCTAGAGTCTACACCCTCAAACCTGTGGTTCTTAATTGTGATGTTGGTCTGGTTGGGCTGGTTATTCAGGTGATCATCATGATTAAACTAGAATACAGAGGGGAAAATAAGCACTTAGGATATATATTCTAACATGGTTAGTGATTTAAACTGGCACAAAGAAAAAACATATTTTGCATAAATTAACTTTGTTTAATTAAACAGAGTGAATAGTGTAAGAGCCTATTGAAATTAAATATTTAGCTGAAAATGTTTATTTTCTTAATTATCTATCTATCTATCTATCTATCTATCTATCTATCTATCTATCTATCTATCTATCTATCTATCTATCTATCTATCTATCTATCTATCTAAATCAGCTGATTGAAATTAATTTCTGTTTTGAGAAGCCCATACATTAGCATATGTTGTTTACCTTAATCAGCTGCTTTGTGAACTCATTCATTAATAAAATGTCAGCACGGAATAAATGGTCACTTAAATCCCCAGTTCACAGATTTATCACAGAAAGCCCAATCTTCCTGCTCTATCACTGGCTAAAACATAGAAAAACAAATCCAGAATCTGGGTCAAGCCATTTGTGGGCTTACCCTGTGATGTTTGCTTTTGAAATCTATTGAAATCCCCCTTCAAGCTGCAGTTCAGTGGGATTTCAGAACGTAATGGCATTTTCGTTCTGTGAAACAAAGACTCTGAAAGGCTTTAAAATAACAAGATTGGCTTATGGACAAAAATATTGCGACATATGTAAGAAACGAGAGAAAACTCTGAGGAGTGCTCTGAACTGTCATAATTAGTCATAAACACACACAGTGAATCGCGTTAACAGTCAAATTTTTTTTATCATTGAGTAATTAAAAAGCTAAGAGTCACTGGTATTAGTCAACTTCCTCCTCACATTTGATCATTCTGTGTGGTATGAAACCATTAAACTGAGCAGCTTTATCCTGTTTGAAGTGCTCAGCATTCTGTCATCAGCTTTAGATGAACTTTAATAATGTTGATCAGCTGGATTTGGATCAATCTGACTTAAGTGCTCCAAAGAGATCTGGAGCAGCGGCTGCTCGTCTCACAGCTCCAAATCATTCACAGCCAGGCTACATAGAAGTGGTACACAGTGTTCCACACGGCCACGAAAGAAAACAGCATGTCCTTGGACAGAGCAAGGGCTCTATCCAATCACATATTATTAGACACATAGCCTATTTTGAAAAGAGGCCCATTATGGATAAATTCAGAATCTCACTTTGACTTGATGGAATGATTAGTTTATCAAAAGAGGGTTTTGACAGAGCCAGAGGCAAAAGTGTCCCTAAAGCAGAAAGGGTGGTAGGATGGTTTTTTCCTACTCTCCAGGAGAAAACATGTGCTCGTGTTCTCTGTATGTGGGATAACTAGACATCTGTAAGCAATCATACTAAAACAGTTCAATGTTTATGTCTCTCTCCTACAGGATCTGCTGTGTGCAATGCCTGATATGGGTTGATCAATGTATTCCTGCTACTGCTGCAGCTCTAAAAAACAAAAAGCCTTTTATATTTTGCGCTTTGAAAACAATTTAAGGGTTCTTAAACTATTCAATACTCTGGATTCAGAAGACCTGCAAATCCAAGCCTAAATATTAAAACAACGGAGAGCTTTTTTAAATCTCTTGAACATTTTCAAACTTAATGCATCAGAATATTGCCGTGCAAAAACTGTTCCAGAGTTAAAAATGAAACAGAAAGAATCTTTAAACAAGCTCACAGATTTTAGCTTGATATTTTTTTTGATAGATGCAAGAGGGTTCTGCAAAATTGGTTCTTTCATTACATACAAGTTTACCAGGATGTCAGAGATGTGTTAAACAAACAAGCTGTATGCAGATGCTGTTAAAAATGTTGTTTCCCTCTAAAGAGACAGAGAAGTATAATGAATCAATGACAGAGGAAGCATGACTGTTGACTCTGAAAGCATCATTTAAAAAAAAATTAGTGTCCCATCTTAATTACATCTCTAGCCTCTTTGTTAAGAATGTGCAGATATAATACACTACTAAAAATGATCTAGAAAAGAAATAAAATCATCTTAAATTAAGTATATTTAGCCTTAATTTGAGCAGCTAAATTAAATTATTTGCCAATAGACCAAATATTTTTACACTTAAAATTAAGATAATAAGATAATATGCGCTTGAAATAAGATGTTGCGATTTCTTTTTTCTTATTTTAAATATATATTGTCTTGTTCCACTGGCAAAGGTTCTCACCTCCTCAATTCAAGAACAAAATGCACTTATTTGAAGAAAAACATTACTTACTAAGATTGAATTTTTTTGCGGTGTATAATGTATGAAACTGTTTAAACTGTGTATTAAACAAAAATATTTTGAAATTCAAGGCTTTAGTGAAATCCACAATCCTTATTATGATGATCATTTTATTATATCTTCTAATTACTTATAATGTTTCAAACATTGTGAATATAAAGAATGAAAAACACCCCCCCTGTACTGTCGGCTTCAGAAAGGTGATCTTTTTTTATAAATTATGGATGAATTTCAGCAGCGACTGAAGAGATGTTTCCAAAAACAGATTTGCTGCCCAGATCCTGGAAAAGAGGGGTCCAGCCATACAAGATGCAGCGTGATTAAGATGCGGAGTGCAGAGGCCAGACAGTCGCAGTGACGTGGAGCTCTGACAACTCAGAGCTAAAAAAAGAACAGGACCGGAAATGTCACAGGATGCATGCATTGGTCCGCCGCCATGATCATGCCTGTGATGGAGGCAGATAAACAGTGTGACGAACAGAGGAGCTGTGTGCAGATGTGCGTAGGTGCAGACATATTTTATTGCTGTGTTAGATGGCAAATCTTATGCAACAAAGCCTTTGGTGAATAAGCTGGTAAAATGTAAACAAATGAAACATCTTAAAGAGCAGCATATATAAACAAGAAGCGTCACTGTTTGAGGTAAACAAACAGGGCTATACTTTCAGACTAGGGGTGCACTGATCGCAGGTTTCTGGCCGATCACTGATTCCTGATCTTTTAAAAAGTATCTTGATTCCTTTAAAAAAAAAAAAAAACGATGCTGTCAGTTGTTATAGGACCACAAATCCCTTTAAATATTTCAATCTTAATCTTACTAAAAGACATTAATCAGTACCTTTGAAATGATGAAAACTTCGGAAATTTCTCCTCTCAAATATAAATCAAGGTTTAGAGCACTGATTTCCAGACCTTTGCAGAGGTAGATACCATCTGTGGAAAGATCAGTTTTGCATCTAAGTATCATCTGATCAACGATCTCCCAAAGTTAAGGAAATCTAGGCCGATAAAAAGACAAATAAAAGTTGGAAAACATATTATAGGGATTTCTTAAGTGGGTTGTAGATGTTAATACATTGCTGTAGGCAGGATGAAGGCAATGTTCAAGGTTGTTTGTAATTTTCTTAATTTAAGGAAATCATCAAGAGGTTCCAGAGGACTTCTCAGAATAGTCAGCATTCTCTTTTGGCTGGTTGAGCTTCGTTAAGTCATTGGCTCTAATACTGTTAGCCCAAAAGATGATGACAAAGACTACACTCCCCACAACAGACCTATATAGGTCATGTGCAAAATATTACTACAGACTCTGAAAAAAATATAGTCCCCTCAGTTTCATTTCCATTCCAGTCAGTCCAGGTAAACACCTATTCAAACCCATTCGCCACCTCCACTTCTTCCATGACGACAATAGCAATGTTTCCATTAAACTGAAATTCGAATCTCACATTACGTCGTCACTCATGGCTGTAGTAAACAGGAAGTATAGGATGCAATCTAGCACTGACCACTGATCAGTCTTG